CAGCAGCAGCAGCATCATCATCAGCATCAGTATCATCATCAGCATCATCATCAACATACTCGTCATCATCAGCAGCAGCAGCATCATCATCATCATCATCATCCGTAGCATCATCAGCAGCATCTGCATCAGCACCATCGTCCTCACCATCATCAGCATCAGCATCATCGCAATCAGCATCAGCATCAGCATCACCAGCATCAACATCACAATCATAATCATAATAATCATCATCATCATCATCATCATCAGCAGCAGCAGCACCGACATCATCATCATCAGCATCATCAGTATCATCATCAGCCGCACCATCATCGTCGTCGCCATCTGCATCATCATCAGCATCACTATCATCAGCATCATCATCAGCATCATCAGCAGCATCAGCAGCATCGGCATCATCATCCTCATCATCAGCAGCAGCAGCAGTCGCAGCGGCAGCGGCAGCGACAGCCACGGCAGCATCAGCAGCCTCGTCGTCATCATCATCATCATCATCATCATCATCATCATCATCATCATCATCATCATCATCATCATCATCGTCATCATCAACATCATCAGCATCATCATCAGCATCATCATCACCATCAGCATCAACATCACCATTTTATCAGTATCATAATCAGCATCTTCATCATCAGCATCATCAGCAGCAACATCATCATCGTCATCAGCATCAGCATCATCACTACCATCATCATCCTCATAATCACCATCATCCTCATCAGGACCAGCCCCATCACCACCATCAGCATCAACTTCATCACCATCATCATCATCATCATCATCATCATCAGCAGCATCTGCCTCATCATCATCGTCAGCATCATCATCATCATTGCCGCCGTCATCATCAACATCTTCATCAACATCAACAGCATCATCATCGTCGTCATCATAAACATTATCACCACCGACACCGTTATCATCAGCATCGTCGTCGCGGTCATCGTAGACGTCGTCGTCGTCGTGATCATCATTGTCGTCATTATTAACATCATCACAACCACCATCACCATCATCATCAGCAGCAGCAGCATCAGCACCCTCAACCTCGACCGAAGTCTCATCATGGCTCTCCAGTCCTCGAACAATCGCAACCTAGAATGCTGGGCTGACACTGTGGAGGGACTTGCCGCAGACATCTGGGGATTCGCTCTCCCAGCGCCACGATCCCTTGAAAACAAATCCGCCGACCCTTCGGCGTGTGCAGACGCTGTCGTCGTCGTCAACGTCCTCGTTGTCCTCGTCGTCGTCGTCGTCGTCGTCGTGGTCTTCGTCGTCGTCGTCGCAATCACTGGGTCCTCGTCCTCCAAAGCGCCAGCCACAGCGAAACCAAGCCGAAACCTCAAGCGCGCCAGCCAATGCGAAACCATACCGAACTTTGGCCATGTCGCAGTTGATTCGAATGGAGGAGGGATGTGGAGGGGGGGGATGGGGGGAGGAGGGGGGGGGTCCCGGGTCAGAATACCATCCTCCCCCGGGGGGTCCTGGGGCCCAAAAAAAACAAGACAGCCCAAGAGGCTCCCAAGACGGTCCAAGAGGGCCCGAATCGCCGAACGACTGGTCCAAGACAGCAAAGATGGCCGTCTCACAGCCCAAGCGGCTGCCAAGACGCTCAGAAGAGGCCTCCATAAGTACACCAGGGGGTCCCAACAGGCAAAAAGTACGTGATTCCCGTCAGTTGTTTGTTATACTGGCGTTCACGCCTTCTTAGCTTCCGGACCCCCCAAGACGGCCCAAGGTACCACCAAGATCGGCACAAGAGGCCCCCAAGAGGTTTCCAAGACGGCCCCAAAACGATCCAAGAGGGCCCCAAGACGGCCCTACAAGCCCCCCAGACGGCCCCAGAGGCCCCGAAAACGGCTCCAAGAGGGTGCCCACACGTCAGCCCGAACGGCCCGCACGAACATTTCGAGCCCTCGGCTCCAAGAAGCTCCAAGGAGGCCCCAAGATGCCCCCACGAGGCCCCCGAGGCCACGACCCCCATATTCCGCCCCCCATATTCCAAGACGGGCGAGACAGGCAACGAAGGCCGCCAAAAGAACCAAATATTCTTCCAAAACGGCCCAAGATGGCCCCAAGACTACCTAAGATGGCTGGCCGCAAGACGGCCAAGAGGGGCCCATTACGGCCCGAGAGTGCCACAGGAGGACCCCCAGTAGGGCAAGAAAAACCCAGGGTGTTTGGAAGATGCGGGCGTCTTCACCTTCCATGCATGTTTCAGCTCAAGACGGCCCTAGAAGCCACCAGTGGGCCCCCAAATTCACCAATAATCATCCAAGACGGCCTCGAGACAGCCAAAGAGGGCCCCTAGACGGCCCAGGACGGCCCCAAGAGAGCCCCAATCTGTCCCAAGAGGGCTTCTGGAGGGACCCAGGACGGCCTTGGAGGGCCCCTTGACGGCCCACGACTGCCACAAGACAACCTTCGACAAACCCCCCGACGGCCAAGAAGGCCACAAAAGGGTCGAAGAGAGCCCCAAGACGGCCCAAGATGGCCCTAAGACGGACAAAGAGGGCCCCAAGAGACCCACAAGACTACCCCACTCAAGGACCCAAGACAGCCCTTAGCGCTCTGCCACACCCAGTGGCAGTCTCCCCCCCAATCATCATGGTGTCTTTCACGCCTCTTCTCCGGCTCCAGGACAACCTCAAATGATCTGCAACGGCTTTCTGACCTTTCTGATCGTTAACCCACCAGTCAAAATACGTTGTGCCTTTGACGCAGCTCGATTCACACGGCACAGCCTCCTGTCGCCCCTCGCAGGGCACTGTGCTGGCACGGTGGCGGAACTTGCCGCAGGCAGCTGGAGTTCGAGAGGAGCAGGGGGGAGAAGCTCTTCCTCCTCTTAGTCGTCCTCATCCCCTTCAACAAGGGTTTTTATACATGCGAGATCACCCGACGTAGCTTCCACCTGATCACTCGACTGGAAGCCGCACGAGAATGCTTGCTCGATGCACGCATGTATCTCAGAATGGCATCACCAGTTCTACAAAAAGTATATGCTCGCCGATACCTGCCAACGACCATGCCAAATCAAGATATTAGCGGATGTGGGGGATGGCCTGGCTCAGTTGAAGTTGGGGTCTGGTCAAATCAGAAAGGTGCAGGCTTGGATATGCTGGGCTGGGCCGGCAAGCCGGACACGGCTACGCAAGACTTGGCAGAGCCTGTTCGATCCAGACCCAGCTTATAAGACAAGCCGATAGAATTCGCGGAGCCGACCTGAAAAAGTCTGGCCACGGATCTGCGAAACTGTTAAGTCAAATGGCTGAGCTTGGCTAGCCCGAGCCCGTGAAGCCCCCAGTGCGCGGCCGTGGTAGGCTCCCAGCTCAGCCTGGCAAGGGGCCAGGCTGCGTTGCAGAGCGCCACGCTAGGAGGAAGAGGACTGCCGAGAGGGGAGAAGGAAGAGGAAGGAGGAAGGAGCGAGCGAGCGAGCGAGACGCCAAGGGTCGAGTGCGCTCTGCGAAGCACGCCCGTGTCCATGAGGGAACGGCGTGGGAAGCCGTGGCCTCCACAGGGAAAGACAAGCCAGCCGAGGGAAGATGGCCTCGCGCTCGGGACCTCCCAAGCCGTGGAGGCCGCAGCGTCCCTGCGCGAGGCGGTGCTGACAGGGGGGATGCGCCACGCTGTCGCCACAGCGACCGTGGCCTCGCCCGCTGCTTTCGCAGGACCCCCTCCCCTGGCGAGGGCGGGACGAGGGAGGGGGGAGAGGGAGAGAAGGAATGGGGACGGGAAGAGAAGGAAGAGGACGTGGAAGCATGTGGAAGCGTAAATAAGAGGGGACAAGGACGAGTGAGAGGAGAGGGGAGTGGGAAAGGGAGATGTAGAGTAACAGAAAGAAAGAAAACAGAGACGAAAGAACGCCCCGTAATATTCGAGACCGTGCTCTCGACAGGTTGGGGCGTATTACAATGCCTGGTGGTTGTATGGTAAGGTACCTGTACTCTTTCTACAGGCCTACGTGATCAGAAAACCGATCCCCTGGGTTGTGTTCCCGGATGTCCCATTCTCAATACTAAAACAGCTCTGGAACGGTCCATGAAAACCCAATAAGATTCAAGGTGCCACAATACGGAACCAACTTGGCCTGTAGACGCCCCAGAGGCCAAAGCGACTCCGAGAAGCGCGCAAACAGCTGTTCCGACAATCGAAAGTTAACGGCGGTTCCATGTGTTTCAGTCCGAAGCCCAACACAACCCAAGAGGTCCCACTGGAGGCCAACGAACTCCCGAAGACAGTCCAAGATCGCCACAGACGTTCCTCTTCGAAAGAGAGCTCGGAGACACCACCGTGCCCAAGGCGGCACCGTGAACCCCAACATGTCCCCAAGAGACTCTGAAGAATCCCCCAAGCTGCACGCGAGAAAGCCAAGGAGGTCCCCGAGAAGTCCAAAAGAAGCTCCCAAGAAAACTCCATGGAACCCCCGTGAGGCAAAGCAGCAACCATGAATTGGTATAACATCGTTGCGGTGTTTCCCGCGAGGCCACCAGAACATGTTTCCGAGCCTGTTCGGGAGAGATCGATAGAACCATGGTGCATCAATATCACTCGCCCTCTGAGCGCAAGCGGTCTAGACCGCCGATTACTACCTCTTCTTATCACTCTTCTTCCGCTTTGGGAAGAAGTTGACCCATCCCCCTACCCGTCCCAAGGAGTCTGGAGAGAGAGGGGGACGGAGGTGACCGGCGGCACTGCTGGGCCAAATATTGATCCAAGATCGCGCCCGAAGCCTCAATGTGGCCTCCAAGATTGCACAAGATAGCCCACAGTGGCTCAAGATAGCCTGCGACATGCACCCAAGATATCCCAAGATTTACCAAACAGAACCCCCAACCACCGAATGAGTTCTTCGAGGCACCGAAAGGGATCCAAGGGGGGTCTACGAGACTCTTTGTAGCAACAAGAAGTCCACGAAGCCTTCCAGGTCGGATCATGAAGAACACACATATGAAGAATAATCGGTTCGAGTAGCACATGCAGCCCCCTGGCGCCACAATTTGTATTTCTCGTCCATGTCGAGATTGTACAGCTCCTTCTCGAAGGTTTGTATGGCGTCATCGATTCTCTCGAGCAGGTCCTGTGCGCGGCAGCAACTGCTGGCATCTCGCAAAGACGGGAACTACCCCTACTGGTGCACAAATCGTTCCACCAGAAGCGGCGAAACCATGCAAACAGAGCACTCAATAACATGAAACCGCACATGACATGAGAACGGCCAAGATACGCAACAAAAGCGGTGCACTTTCGACAAGCCCACTTAGAATAAACGTTTTGCTTGGCGGCGCAACGAGGATAATCACCGGGTAAGCAAGGACGGGCCACGCTCTAAAATAGTTGACCACCTGGTGTTGAGCGTGAACAGACTCGTGGCCTCGGGGTGAGTCAAGCCTGAAGCTGGACCTTCGAGCGGTCAACCCAACCGCGTGCAAGAAAAGTGGGCGCAGGGAAACATCGCAAGAAGGCGAAACGCAAAGGGCGGAGGAAGGAGGACGGAGAGAAGCTGGACGGCACGCCGACGGACGCGCCGTTACCAGCAGGGGAGGCCTGGCAAGCGCGCAGTGGAGCAAAATGAGGCAGTCCGTGGCCGACAAAGACGCGCACTCAAAACGCCACAGCGAGAAACAGACAACACACACACATACTTACAGACGCACACAGCCTCTCTTTCACCCACCTGCACTCACAAGCTCGTTTTGACGTCGCCACTCTGGGCGGCCGTGATCACGCAGACATGATCACGCACGCACACACACACACGAAAGTTGTTAGCAGCAGGAAAAACTGCGGGCCACACGGAGCCGACTCCGAATGCAGAGCAGAGACCGAGCCAGCTCGCCCTGAGGAAAGGAAGGGGACTGACGCAGACAGATGGCAGGAAGAAAACCAGAAGGCAATGTACCCAAGAAGGGGGGATGCCCCGTAGCTAACTGCCTGTCCCCCAGCGTCAGTCCGAAGATCCCGAGTTAGAGCCCTCGTAGGTCAGACGACTCGGGATCAAAGCAGCTCTGGGGTCGGAGGCCGACGAGGCTGCGCGTCCAGTCATCGCAGGAACGGACGCCTGAGACGCGCACGCTCCAGAGAGAAGGAATCCAGAGGCTTCCTCGCCAGCCTCCTCATCGATAAAAGATGAGCTCGTGTCAGGGGCCAGGGCCACGCGCCTCAGTGGGGGCCCAGCCACAGCACCAGAGACAGTGCTAGCAGCGGCGGGGGGACAGGGAGAGCCTTTCCCGCCAACATCCTGGCCGAGCTCATCGCGTCCTGCCTCAGCGGACGCGTCGAAGAACTCGCAAGTGACAGAGCTGTCGTTGGGATGGAACCCTCGGACTCTCTCTCTCACACACACACGCACACACACACTCACACACACACACACACACACACGCACACACACACACGCACTCACTCACTCACTCACGCACGCACGCACGCACGCACACACACACACACACACACACACACACGCGCGCGCGCACACACAGACACATACACACACACACACACACTTTTTTTGCGTTGGCGGCTGGGCAGAGGGCGACTGCTCTGGCGGGGCAAACACACACACACACACACACACACACACACACACACACACACACGTCGACTCTGCTGACGCCGACGTCACGGGCGCCAAGACACGAGTTGCCGCCGCACGAAAAATGGGCTCAGTCGCTGTTTGTATGCACTTGGTGTGCACTGTACACAGCTCCCTGTGAGAAGACAGACAGAGAGACCCCCCGCAGAAAGCACAACCTGCAGCAGAAGGCCCAGTGGGCAAGACACACATACACGCGCGCACGAACGTTATTCCATGTCCAGCGATGTCCTCCGAGGTGAAGGCGTTACTCCGACTATGACCAGCAGTGGAGCACAGCAGAAAAAAAACAAGCTGCAGCGGAAAACCCTTAGCGTGAAGGCGGCGAGCAGGACGCGGACGGAGAATACGTGACCGAATGACTGGACGTTTTCAATAGCGTTTGGCCGTCGAACCAATGAGGGATGAGAGATCCAAAATGTCGACGCGTGAATCAACGGAGGCGTCGGGAAGGGCAACGCGGTCGGAAACGGCAGGTCGGAGAACCGTCGGTCGGCGGTGCGGCGCCAGAGACGAATCAGAGAGCGAGCGGCGAAACGCACCACGCCGAGATGTGGTAGTGCCAGCGAAGCCGCCCGGCCAAACTTTGAGGTCAAGCGAACGGCGGCGTGGGGCTGAAAGATAAATCGTGCAGGCGGCAAGGTGCCGAGAGCGTGGCACCCGCTCCACCCGAACACAAAGAGACAGAAACATACAGAGACGGAAATACACACATACACACACACTTGTCACGTCAGCGGCTGGGCAGAGGGTGACTGCTCCGGCGGATTGGCAACAAGGGGCGTGCAGAGGGGGGTTAGCGCATCATGGCCCAAGGCAAGTGATAGAGGCCTCCCAAGTGGAGTCGGAGTGGCTGGGGCCAGAGGAACGTACCGCATCGTCGATGCATGGGCGATGCGTTGGCGACGTCGGCGATACATCGGCGCCGTCGGCGTGAGGAAAGTCGGGCTCCACAATCCATCGGCGATGCAGCACGATCGTTCGACCCCATCTACTCGGACCCCATGTGGGAGGCGAGGGAAGGGCCAGGGAATGCGTAGAAAGAGCAAGAAGGGGGCATGAAGTCTGGGAGATTCCATGACCCTGGCCATGACATCCACACACACCCTTGTAGTCATCACCGCCCTCCTCGACGCCTGGGGCCGTTCGGGCCATAGCTCGGGACCCCGGCGGCCGTTCGGGACGACCCAGGCACTCCTGGGAAGCCCCCGACGAGGCGCATCTTCTGGAAAGCACCCCGAGAGAAAAAACCTCCGAGAACTAATGAAATCGTCCGAACCCTCCGAAGAACAGCCCGCCCCTTGAGCAAGGACCGGCCGTCCCGGCATTCATACAGGCCTGCCAAGATATGTTATTAGAAGCAGAGAACGTTACACACAAGTAAATCCAATGATCTTAGATCGTAAAGCCGAAGTGTTAACACAAAACGGTCAGAACCAACAGTTCTAAGAACATGTCGCGCAAACATAAACAATATTGTTATAGTTATTCTTCGATGGGCCTGTGGGCAAGCCAGAACGCCTCGCCACACCTTGAGCCCTCAGTCCGCAGCCATTCCTAGACGCCCCCGCGTGACGCCACCGTGACCCACCGACGCGCGGTTACGCCTTTCGAGTGCCCGCTGGGTCTGGCTGCGCTGAAGCGAGCAGGCTGCTGCCCATTGCTCTGCCGAAGCCAGCCTCGACCACGACGCGACGACGACGACGACGACGACGACGACGACGATGACGACGGCGACGGCGGCGACGGCGATGGCGGCGACGAAGACGAAGATGTCGACGAGCACGACGCCGACGCCGACGCCGACAACGGCCCAGACCTCCGATGTCTCGATTTTTTCGATACTGGGCGCCCGGAACTCTGCACCACTTCCCGGGGGCCCATCTGACATCCTGGCTAGTTGTCTGACGGTCCCGGGGCCCAGCGAGGGCCCCCCGTCGCCGAAAACGTTGCAAAACCACCGTCTGGACTTCGGGGCAGGGCGAGGCGAGACAACGGCAGCTCAACGGGGCCCAAGCGCACCAGTTTCCATAGCTGCGTCCAGCCGTGGCGACGAAGGGCCCCCCGATTGCCCCCAACCGTTGCCTCAACTCGCCCTCCCCCGAGGATCTTCTCAACACGTTGGAGGTCTGGGGGGGCCCGCGGCGGCCGCGGCAGCTGCAGCACATAGGAACAAGGAAAAGCGACACCACTACCACCAGGGACTACCAACGGGCGGCTCCAGGAGAGATCCTCCTGGTGGTGCGCTTCCCCCCTCTCGCTCGAGACATCCCCCATGCCTAGCTCGGGGAGGCATCGTGAACACCTCGCTGGAGGTGGCCACCCTGGTAGTGGTGGTGTCGCGTCTCCTTGGAGGCAGCCGGGGGGGTCTGAGCTAATTTGAACCCCTGATTTTTCACCCGGGACCCGTTTTCACTGTCCCGGGCCTGGAAAGCGGCCACCAAAGGCCGAAAAACATGAAAAACAGTCTCGAATCCAGAACCTCGAACCTTCCCTCCCCTTTCTGCTCACCGAAACAGATGCCGGGCCAACTCAGACTCCGAGCCGGTTCCAAGCTTCTCCTTCCCCCGAAGCAAACGCCAAGGCGCCCCGCGCCGCCGAGGCGAACAGGCCGCCCAGCGCGCCGTCGGCACTCGCCGCGGCGTCGGGGCTCACTCGTGCGAAGGTGCCAGGCGCGCCCGCGGCGCTCGGGGCGGCGTCCGGCGGGGCCGAGGCGGCGCCGAAGAGGGTGGCGGCGCCCAAGGCGCCGCGGGCGGAGGTGAACAGGCCGCCTCGCAGAGGAAGGAGATGCACTGAGCATCAATTGGCGTGGCCCTGGTCCCACTGGCCGAATTACACCCCAAAAGACAATACATTTGACAATAGAAATAAAACATAATAGACGATCGCATAAAATCATTCTAATGCACTACAATATGAGGTACAATACACTACGGTAACATATGGCATGACAGAGTGCAATGCAATATGAAATCATGTGATAAACCTGCAATATGTTTTGATGTACTAGGCATGCTAGCATGTATCATGATGCAATACGATATTGCGTCATATGATACCATGCAATAGCATGTAACACAATATGTAACAAAGGTTGGGGACATGATGAAATATAAAATGTGATGGTCTAACCAATCAAAAACACTACAGTATTATATAACAAACAAATATGTTATAATACCATAACACAAACCACAATGTAATGCATTATGCGATGTGACGACATAATACACTACAGTAAGCTTGAATGCACCATTATGTGCTGCAGTGTGTTCCGTTACATAATCATACCACTGCTGCCAGATGTAAAATGAACCATGCTATGAAATCACATGATACAATATCTGAACCCATAATATGACACACATACTGCAAGCAATATACTATAATACATGGTCTTGAATTACAATACGACATGCCATGATATACGATGGTTTAAGAAAATCAATGAAGGTCATGTCATATATACGATGATAAAACCTGATGGTATATAGGACGATGTTATATAATACCCTCTAATACGATTATGTAAAATATGTTAGAACATGATATAACAAAACATGAAACAATGCTACTGATTACAATGTCATACATGTCATAAAATCAGATATAATATAATACAATATAGATTTCCGCGCCCGCGCGGCCCGCGCGCGATGGCTAGTCCCTGGCTCCGGCCAGGCGAGCTTGCATACTCTCACGGGTAACTGCTACCCAAGTAACAACCGGCTGGGACTCAGCCCCACGTGAACTCGTTCGACTTCGTCATCCACCGCCTTGAGCGGGATACTAGGCTGACAATAATTCGTTGCTCGATGTTGTTGTGTGGACTATGTTCTTGTCTTGCTTTCCCGATCGCTGCAATGGCGGGGATGCACGCACGGGCGCCAGGTACACCGCTGGGAGGTGAAAGGAACATTTCTCGTCGTCTCTTCAGCCCTCTGCACGAGATGGACGACGGTGTGTCCAGCATGGAGGTGCACGACATCGAGGAACCAGATAGACCTGCGGATGCACGTCCGGCTGCACGTCCGCCAGCACTCGAGGAGATCGCGAACCTTCTCAGGCAGGAGGTTCGGTCACTCCAGACAGCTCGAGAGCCGCTTCGATCAGTTCGAAGGTGCACTTGGGTCACCGATGAAGTCGGTGGAGGACAGGGTCGGAAGCATGGAGGAGAGGATCGAGGAGACGGAGATGCGCATCACGAGCATCGGAAATACTTTCGACACGCAGGGGGCGCCCCGATCTGACCTGAGCGCAGAACTTTGGGACCAGATCAAGGTGCTGGAGATGGAGGTCTCCATGCTGAAGCTTACCCCGTGAACCCTGTGAGCTCCGACATGGCGAAGACGCTTGTGATCAGCGGGCTGCAGACACTGGCCAGCCTGGGCGAGGTGCAAACATGGATGAAGGCGAAGTCGCGGGACGCGTACGGCCCACAACCTGACGAAGTATAACTGAAAGGCGATGTTCGAGGAGTGGCTTTCGTCGAGTTCTCGAATAGACCGCGACGAGGCGGCCAAGCTATTTCAGAAAGCATCTTTCAGAGGGGGGGGGGGGCAACCGTGCGTGGGCGAAGCCAGACCAGACGTTGGAAAAGAGAATCCTCCGTTCTTTCGCGTTCGGGTTGAAAGACATCTTCAAGAATTGGGGGTACGAGGCAAAATCAGCTTGGGCTGATCCTGAAGTGGGAAGGTTTGGCTGGGCAGTGATGTGGTGGCCCAGGCGTTCATCGACGGGGGGGCGCTTAACATAGAATGCGGCCCTGGTTGGGAAGTATGACTGAAAGACGCCGCGCACCCCGACTTCTCCGGCCTCTTGTCGTGGTTGACTGGCAAGCTCGGGAACACCACCTCCAATGGAGCTGGCAAAGTAGGCGGCAAGGGGAAGTCCAAGTCCCGAGAGTAGGGACAGCACCGATCGAGCAGTGCATGTAAGACACACGTTTGCAATGACACGTTCTCCTTTCTCGCGAAGGACGCACGAATTTTAGGGGACGTTCGCTTGTCACGTTTGCTTGGGGAAACTGCGGAAATCCACTGGGATGCAATGCGTTTCAGTGAAACCCGGAGCCCGCATAGCGATTGTATTTTGGAAGGCAGACACAGATTGATTTGCAGCCGTGGGGAATTCAAATGTTCAGGCGTTGCTGCGTTAAATCATCAAAGATGGGTGCCATCACCTGTTGGGTACAAGCGTTAGGTCGGGCGTGTCCCCCTACAGGCGGATGTTGGGCGAAAAGTTAAAAATACTCAACTCGGACAATACACCAAAATAGCCAAAACATCATGAAAAAATAGTCCCCAGACTATTGTTTCGCTATAGTTGAATATTCTCCATGTAGAGGGACAGGTCCGACTTAATACAAGAAGACGTATGATATAATGTTGTACGTATGTCGCATCATTTCCACTCGTTCGTACACTTTGTTTGCCATATACTTGGGATGACATGCTGGGTATGACCGTGCATATTTCGAGGAATGCTGGAATAACATTCGTGCTGCTGCCTGCGATGCTCATTATCATGGGCTGAGGTGCTGCCTGGAAGGCGACTTCAATTCAGAAATAAGTCGGGGTTGGCATGGAGATGCGCTGCAAGAGGCCTCAACAGAGCTTGGTCTGGACATTTGCAATAACCCAAATCATATGGACCCAGAAGACGCATGGACTTTCATAGGTTCCCTAGGCCAAAAACGATTGATCGACTATTGTTTGGTGTCCTCTGGCCTCTCGGTCACGCGTGCCTCGGCGGGTTCATTCTGAGATCTGGGATCCGACCGTCGGGCTGTGCATTGCCGTGTCTCCATCCCGCCACCCACGAGAACATGGACGAAGAGACGCCGCATAAACTTGCAAAATGTGGATTGGGGACGGTTTTCGCAGGCTGGTCGTAGCAGCGGTGCCAGTGGCGCCGACAACTTGCCCAGCCTGGAGTCCAAACTTGTTGAATGCGCAGAAGGCTCGCTGCACGCCTCCACAGGCTCTGCCGTGTGACCGTGGGATACGCAACACCTTAAGGAGCTCAGATGGCGAGGAAAACGCGCAACAAGTCCAGATGAGAGGCGGCGCTTGTCTCGGGCAAATTTCGAATACACTCGTGCTCAGCTGAGGGCGTGGAGAACCCAGCAAGCCACGGAGCGTCTTCGGTGCTCTGGCAAGAACTCACATGAATCCCATCAAGCGCACGTGCGGGTGCGCCGCGCGCCTAGATATGGCCAAGTGCGCAGAGCATTTGGCGCAAATATACTCCACGGAGACGTCCCCGCAGTACGACACGGAATGCTGGGTGCCTCACTTCACAGTCGCAAAGTTAGCAGAGCCATATCGAAAATGGCAAAACAAAACAAAAAATGCTCCGATCAGGACGGTATCGTGCTGGAGATGGTTGTGCATGCCGGTGAGGCTGTGAATCGGCGATTGACGGGCATGCTCAATGAAATATTGGACGTAAATGCCATTCCGGACAGTTGGGTTGCGACTTGTTTCTCGCTCTTGCATAAGGGGGAAGACGCGGAGGACCCAAACAATTAGAGGCCCATCGCGATTCTGAGCATCACATACAAAATCTTCGCGAGGGCCGCATTACACGACCGGATAAAAGAGCGCCTCGACTCTCAAGAATCAGAAGACCAATTTGGTTTCGGGCCTGCGCGCTCCACTCTACATGCTCTTACCGAACTCGAGACTGTGACCTCCAAAGGGATCGAGTGGAATGTTCCCGTCTAGGTGGTGAGCATTGATCTGAAAAAAGCCTTCGACCGTGTGGAGCATGATGCTTTGTTCTGCTCACTTGAGCAGCAGGGACTGGGCGAACATGTATATCTGTTCCAGAGGTCGTATGATGGGCAGTTTGGGCATATCGGATACCGACGTTTGAGATCAAGTGAGGTGTCCGACAGGGTGACGAGTTAGGCCCCGTCCTGTTCAACGCGGCGCTGGAGGTTGCAATCGACAGCTGGAAATCCGGGCTAATCACAGAAGGGTTTGCTTTGACACCACATCCGTGTGACGCTCGGTTAACGAATGTTCGCTATGCGGATGACATTATGTTATTCGCGCAGTCATTGGACGAGGCTGTGTCCATGCTCGAATCACTGGCAGGTACGCTGGGCCGCTTTGGCCAGGAGCTGAACGCAAAGAAAACAAGAATCATGACGACGGAACCCATTGAGCAGGATACGCAGGTGATCACAGAGTCCAGCACCATAGGCATTCTGCACGCGGGTTCCAAGCACAAATACCTCGGCAGATGATTCACAGGTGCCTTGGGGAAGCATGGCCACGCAGCGGTAGAGCACCGAATCGGCTGCGCTTGGATGAAGTTCCATGCCTTTCAGCACGTGTTGACGAATAAGCATGTTAGCGTTGCTCTTCGTTTCCAGCTGTTTGAAGCAATTGCTAAATCAACCGTGTTACTCCCTCGAAACCTGCCCGCTGACGGAGTCCCTGGGTCGTCGCTTGAACGTCGTGCAGCGACGCATGCTGCCCAGCATGGAAGGGTAAATCTCGTACTCGGACGTCACCTGGGAAGACCGCGGCCGCAGGATGAAATCCCGCTTAACGCAGCTTTGAACCGTCATGCTGCCGTGTGGCTGCCGCCGGTCTGCAGTGACCTGAACCAGGCGAACCCTTTTCGGGAAAGAGGGAGACCCGCCACGAGGTGGGACGACTTCTGAGGCAGGAGCCCGGGGCTCTGTTCGGTTTGCTTTCTCCTTCTCCTCCTCTTCCCTTCTTTCTTGCAACGATGTCTGAACGCACATGTTTCCAGC